GGGGGGTATGACGTCACAGCAGCAACGTAAAAATGTAATAACGCAGTAAAAGAGAGAGAGAGAGTGAAATAATCTGAATCGAGTAAAACAATAAAAAAAAATATTAGAGGCAGCGGAGCCTCTTTATGGTGCTAATTAAACGAGCAGCCACGAGGAGAACAAATCCCCAGAGCTATTGACATTTCACCATATTCGATATGACAGATATGACTGATTAGTTCGCCGGGCAGCCTCGTCAATAATCCGCCTGCCAATCAAACGTGACCTTTAGAAGTGAGATGATGAATTAACGGGGCCACGGGACGATCCGATACCAGACCTCCAATCCATCACAGCGGCTGCAGCGAACAGGAAGGAGAGGAGTTGTGGAGATTTTTGTTCAACTCGTTCAACAAGTGTCCGCGCTGAAATAAAAAGAATCTGGCGAGAGGTTTAATAATCAGCCGGTCGTGTGAAGTTCCTTTGTTAGATAATTACAGAGAGTAGAGGAGGTGGGACAGGAACCTGAGAGCTGAGAGCGAGATGCAGCAACCAACATACAAAGATGTCCGAGTAAATAATAAGAGTAAAGTGAAATGACAACAGAAGGAGGAGGAAGAGGAGGAAGAGGAAGATGAGGAAGAGGAGGAGGAGGAGGAAGAGGAGGAAGAGATGAAGTAGTCAGGGAAGATTAATCTCAAATTAATCAAATAAATCTGCGTCAAATTCAACTTTGTAGAAAAGATGTGTAATTTAAGAAAACTAATGACGTCAGAAAAGAAGTGAACATGTGTAAAACTTTCACTTTCTACACTTTGTATGACTCTGGAGTCACAAATGTGAATTTTGACCGTGTTTTCACAGTTACAGTTACTTTTACTTTCTAATTCTTTATTGTTTTTATTGTTTTTCACTTTAAAGAGCTCAGAGATGAATTTGTAAAATGATGTAATGTTTATTTCTCATCTCATATTGATCGATTCAAATCTTATCAAGACTGTGTGAGAAATAAATAGTTTCATGAAATTAACTTTTGGGGAAGACGAGCAGAAACTGTCCGTACCTCCATCTTCCTCCAGACGTCCGGGTCTTTGTCGTGACTCTGAATGTCCTCCAGCAGCTCTTGCACCAGGGACACGCCTCCACGTCCGTCCACCAAAGACGCTGGCAGCTGCAGGGGATGCTCTGCAGACCGCCGCCCCTCCGCAGACCCCCGCCCCTCGTCGTCTTCGGACTGAAGGTCGCTTAACGGGCCGGACTCTATGCTTTCGCCCACAGAGGGCGCTATATCACTGGAGGAGGTGGGGCTAAGGCGGCAGACCAGGTGTCGTCTGTAAGGAAGCTGAGGGACGGAGGACAAGAAGACATCAACAAGCGTGTTTCAACATGGAGACAAAAGGACGGAAAGAGAATGTCCGTCGTGTACCAGCGGAGGCAGAGGAGAAGGATTGTCGTCCCCGCTCTCAACCACGCTGCTCACATTGTCCCCAGTGTCCCAGTCTGTGTTGAGCTCCGTCAGTTCCCAGTCGTCCACGTCCTGCAGAGCCTCCGGGTCGGAGTCGCCGGGTCTCTGCAGGAGCAAGTTTCAACAAAAGAATTTCATGATTGTTAACTTAGTGTGAGAACGGCCCCTTAACTTTTTAGACTTTCACGACCAGAAGCAGAAACAAGTTGAATCACCAGCGGGATGGACTGAGCCAGAGTTTCCAGTTTCATAGTGAGCATCTCCGTCTTTCGGAGCTGAGCGGGGAGAGCCAGAAACTCTTCCGACCCGTACCAGTGCTCCCGGTCTGGACTGGCTCTGGCTGAAACCAGCGCCCCCTGCTGGAGGAGAACAGACGGCAAACACAGTTCATGAGTGACGATCACAGCTGGTTTGTGTGAAATCAGAATGAATTTGTGGATCAATCCCTCCGACAAAAATAAACCTTTAAAAACAGCCTCAGCCTTTCAAATTCTCTTCGACAAAATAAGTGAAGCTTCACCTTCTGCCCCTGGCGCTTCACGATCCAGACCGCCGTCTTGCCGGGAGCTGGTCGGGGGTCCGACTCCTCTCCAGATGCCTCCAGGTCTGAAGAGAGGAGCTGCTCCCGCATGGGTGAGGGTAACGAGGAGTCAGAGTCCCCCTCGCTGTGCGCATGTGTCTCCTTCTGCGTCCTTTCCATTTGGTTTGATATTTCATCCTGAGACACAGGCTCCAGCGGAGGCAGGGGGGCGTTGAGGTTCGGTCCGGCCACAGATGAGCTCCTCTGGCCGGTCAGCGCTCTCTGCGTGCGTCCCTCTAAACGTCCACCGTGTCTGGAGCTCACATGGTTTCTCTGCAGGTTGCGCCCGTTCATGACCTGGTAAACAAAGCAGACGGGAAATCAAGACGACAGATTATTCAAACTCTCTGATGGAGAACTCTTCAGTCTGGTATCATGATAAAACATCCTGGTATTAGTGATTCTAGTATCGACGCCGAACGTCATCATGCTTCTTGTTTAAAATATCTTACAAATATTTGTAAAAATAACTTTTTAATATCTTTAAAGTCGCGTCTATAATAAAAAAACAAAAACAAAAAGCAGACCAACCTGCAGGCTCTCGTACGACAGAGAAACATTTTCTGGATAAACCGAGTCCAGTTCCAACCAGAACTTGGAGCGATCTGGAGGATCCATGAGAGACGGGGTGCTTCGGCTAAGCTCGGCCTGGAACTGGAGCCCAGAGAGCGGGCTGACCTTCCCTGAACCTCCCCCTGTGTTCTCTCCCCTGGTTCTTCTGTCGGAGTACAGGGCCGCTCTCTTGGGGAGGGATGGCTGAGTGGGTGACACCTCAGTGCTGTGGCTCACACCCTGCAGGGGGCGCTTCGCACCTTCACCGTGGCTGGGCGTGTCACTCTGACTTATGGGTAATAATGACGGAGAATGGTTGTGGTTCTTTAAGTCAGCGGGCGTGGTGAGTTCAGGTAAACTGCGACAGAGTTCTGGGTTTGAGGGGCAGGGTCCTTCGCTCTCCACTGACCCCGGCTCTGGGAGGGGGCTCTGGGCCCGATCGAGCTCCTGCTCCCGGGAGGCGTCCGGGTCGTCCGGTTCTGTTCGCTGCGTCTCGGGCTCGTCACCCGGACTGTAGTCGCTCAGCTCAAAGGCGGTGATACCACAGTCTAAAGAGAAGTAGTCCTGGCTGCAGCGAATGGTCAGCTGACCGCAGTCGTCCACCTCCGTCAGCGCATCCAAACGAGTCTGAGGGAGGAGTCACTTTAAAATCTGCTATAGTTCGAGGTTTGAAATAAAACATTCATGGAATCACATTGTAGTGAAACTATCATCAAAATCATAAAATCAAGACCCAAGATGATTCTTTCACTTAGTTTAAAGAGCGGAAATTTATCTTCGTTTGTTTTGGGGAAACGTCAAATTCAGTTTTTTGGTCGTTTCTGCATCAGTTCAGGAAACATCTGGAAAGTGACCACACTGTGTATGTGTGTGTGTGTGTGTGTGTGTTACCTGATGCTGGTCCTGGCTGAAGGCCTGCAGGATGTCCGTCTGACGGGTGTAGTTTCCGTTGGAGTCCTGCAGACCCTGGAGCAGACGCTCCTTCAGGACGAGGACGGACACTCTGAGCTGGTGCCACAGCAGCTGCACCGTCCTGCACCACGAGACACGACCACACCAGCTTTTAATGACAGCTCCTCCATTCTCGATATTAATACACTGCACAGTGACGGCAGCTGACTGAGCTCCGGTTTCTACAGTCGCAAAACTTTTAAAATTAGTTGTTTACGTGGTTTTTTTTAAAATCCCCCCCCCCCCCTTTCATTAAAAGTCTATTCATGTTCATCAAACTGTTTATCACATGATGGAAACACACGAGGGTTCAGTTCCTGGTTTCATTTAAATCTTATTAAAGTTCAGGTTTTTCTTTCACAGAATTTTCTGCTGAGATCACGGAGACGAACCGGAGCTGGAACAAATGAAAACTCTCATCTCACCTGATGTCGACGATGATGTTGACGGAGTAGGACAGAAGCTTCAGGGAGAACTCCGTCTCCAGCAGAGCGTGAATCTGCTCCACATGGTCTGAGATGTCCTCACAGATGTCCTACACACACACAGACAGACAGACACACACAGACAGACACACACAGACAGACACACACACACAAGTGTTTAATAAAAGCTGCTTGACAACAGAAACATCTGATACAGTAAAAGCAGAACTGAGGAGGATGTGTGACGTCACGTTTCCAGATTTAAACATGAGTCAGGTTCATGTGGGACCAGTTCCAGGTTTATATGTGAAAAATAACGTCTCCATTAAACTGACCGATATCAACCAACCAGATTCAGACAGACAGACAGACAGACAGACAGACAGACAGACAGACAGAGAGACAGACAGAGAGACAGACAGACAGACACCGAGCAAAAACAACAGCGGCTGCAGCACGAGTTGCTCTCAGGAGTTTATTAGGAACAAGTGAAGTTAATGTTCATAAAACATAAAGTCATAGTTACTGTTTGTGTGAAACCTGTTTACGACATCATGGTAAACTAAACTAATGACAGGAGCACTTTTGTGCCACTAGGGGTCATAACAATGACAACAGACAGTTTGGTGCAGCAGTGCGGCATGATGGGAGTTGTAGTCTTCATCGCCTCCTCTTCAAAACAAACAGAGCCGCTGATTCAATCCAGTAAAACCACTGAATAAAGGTTCAGTCCTCAGACAAACACAACACACACAACACTGACAAATCCATAAAGAGGATGTGACGCCACCAACAGGCGACACAATGAAACACAGCTTGATATAAAGGTTTTTTATTATACACAAATATAAAACTCTCACATTTAATGTTTCGGCTGCTTCAGAAGCTTCAGCCTGAAAATGTTCTGGAAAAGAAAGTTCCTTAAAGTGAAAATGAATTTAAAACGATTCAAGAGGCAGAGTGAGATTTTAAAATCTAAT